GGGCCGGCCGGCGGGAGCGGGAGGAGCCGGCCTGGACCAGCCCCGGTGCCCTCGTGATGGACGGGGGTGGGGTTGCTGGAGGCACCGTCCAGAGAGTCGCCTTGTTCCCTTGAAGACTGGCGCACGGTGGAAGTGGGCAGGCGTGAAAGAGCCTGCACGCGTGTTCCGAGGCCGCTGTCGGGTCCGCCCGTGTCCTGCGGAGCCCGAGCGCTGCTCCAGCAGAGGCCCCTGGCCCGTGCGCCGTGTGCAGGAGCCGGGGCCGGCTCGCGGCGGGAGGGCGTGTGGGAGCTGCTGTTTGGCCCTGGAGTGATGTCAAGCGTGACGTCCAGCTCCTCAGTCTCCAGTCCTTTACTCAAGGGCAGGGCGGTGTTGTCCACGTCTGTCCTGCTTTGAAGCAGGAAGGTGTGAGCGTCACCGGGGCTCCGGTATTTCCTTCCTCTAAATTCCGTAAATCCCTTACAGACCATCCACCTTCACCGCCCGCTTTTATGTCCTAAAGTTGCCTCTTGATGATCACTGACTTTCATGCAACCACAAACACGTACCGTGTGCCCGAGCTCGGTAGGTGCCGGGGTACAGCAGCGGGCGGCTGAACCTTAAAGCGCGCAGAGAGCGGGGCCCGGAGGCCCTGGCTGACTCCCTGTGCGGGCCCGGCCCGCCTCGCCCACCTGCCTGGCCAGCTGAGGCCCTCGTCCGCCTGCCCGGCCCCTGGCGGCTAGTTCTGTCAGTGAAACAGAAATCTTTGCGTTGCCTCAGTGAGTTGCTGAGGGATAAGTAGGTTCCATCAGAACAGACGGTACTAAGCTTTTAGCATCCAACCTGCCACACAAAAGGAGAGCACCTGGATGCTTGGGGGTGGAGGGACCCTGCTTCCTGCCCGCCCTCCCCCCCCACCCCCGTTCCTGGTCAGAGACACCCAGCTGGGAGACAGCCGTGAACACGCTCCTGCTCCCCCTCCCCCCAGGGGCTGCTGGTCCCTCGCCTGGCTGTGCCCGGGTGCCGCGGACCAGCGCAGCAGGAGCAGGAGACAAGTTTCAGGGACGGCCATTCTGGCGCAGGGTGCGCAAGGATGAGGCTGAGTGACAGACAGACACGACTTCTAGGAGCGCATATCTGAATGTGATTTATTTTCAAGAGTGCAGAGCAGTTATAAAGTTTTTCTTGGCAAGCAAATAGAGGGGTACAATGATTCTTTCAATAGAAACGACAGGTAATACATTTTTTTATTGTTTCTGAGATGTCGTCAGGGGCCCGAGACCAACCTGGGGCCCTGAGAAAGCATTGTGCGTTCAAGGTTCAGTGGTGCTAAACAAACGCCCTATCTGTCACTTTTCCTTGCTAATCCTTTTAATTGCTCCCTCCATTCTTTTCCCAAGCCACCTGGTGTACAGGAGTTAATAGTTGAATAGAATTAAAGATTGTAGCAGAGTTTCTCAGAATGAAATCAGTATCGAGAACAGAGGAAGCTACATTCCTTTCAAGAGCATCATTAGAACGAAGCACAGTGTCCATAGCATTTCTTTGCTTCAGTACGTTGTGTGTCAGCAGAACCAGGAAACAAATCAAAAGTCACAGTGACCACTCGGGAATCAGCCATGCTTCTATTCCTGGAGGGCCGCTTGTGCCTCCCGTGTGCCCGGTACCTTGACCGTGCCGGGCTCTAAGGATTTCTCACTCCGGCGCCGCGGGAGGGGACGGGGCACCCGGGGACGGCTTCTGCCCATCGTCCGCCTGGCCTGGCCCCGCGCTCGCCCTGGCAGTGCAGGTAGTGAGCGCACAGGGCGGCGTGGACAGTCGGCGCGGGGAGCCAGTGGCCTAGACTAGCAGCTCGAAGTGGGCCCGCGGGAGTCCCGACGCCTGTGTCGTTACTCAGCAGCGGCACCAGGCGTGTTCTCCGCGAGGGAGCACTGCTCGGCCCGCTCCAGCAGCCTCTTGCCCGAGCGCGCTTGGAGAACGCACGTACTTAACCGTCGTGACTTCTCGGTCACACGCACAGCTACGTTTTGCCATCCGACGTGACAAACCTCTGCTGCCGCTTTGTTCCCCAGAAGGGGGGTGAGCGTCCCTCCCCCCGGTGCCCTCTTCTCCGACCCGGATTCAGGAGCAGGGACCCAGAAGCGCCCAGGAGCCGGGCGGTGGCCGCGTCCGCCTCGGCAGCGCGTGGACGCTCGCCCTCGGGCTCGAGTCCCCGGGGTGGCCGGCCTGCCCTTCGGGTTCCGGGGCGCGTTGGGGCGCCGTGGTGCCCCCGGCCGGCGGCGGGTCAGCGCGCTGGTGCTCTTGCAGGTGCTGTTTGGCACGGCCGACGGCCAGGTGATCGTCATGGACTGCCACGGCCGGATGCTGGCGCACGTGCTTCTGCACGAGTCGGCCGGCATCCTCGGCATGTCCTGGAACTACCCCGCCTTCCTGGTGGAGGACAGCAGCGAGAGCGACACCGACTCCGACGACTACTCGCCCCCGCAAGGTAGCGGCCGGGGCGCGGGCAGCGGGCTCCGGGAGGACGGGCCCCCCACGCCCCACGCCCGGCCTCCCCGGGCCAGTTTCCTGGCGGGACCGGCCTGGCCCCCGCCGCAGCTGTCTCCTGCTGGGCCTTTCTCGGCTCCCAGTCAGCTCGATGAAGCGCCCGTGGCTTCAGTTTCCTCGATAGAAAATGAGACTGACGACCTTTCCCTGTCCCTGGGGCGTTGTGGGCTTCGCTGCTTAGTGAGAATAGAAGGAGCTGAAGATGAAAAATGCCGTGCTATTAATATAACTTAGTATGTGCGTGCCGAGTCCCCACCGTCGTTAAAGCCTGCAGCCGTGTTGCTGCGGGCGGGGTCAGCACTGCCCGCGGCGCAGGCCGGCGCCCACAGCCCGGCTTTTTTTTTTTTTTTATGCATACAAGAACTGGGGTACAGGCTAGAAGTGGGAGGGGTTGGGAGGCTCCATTTATTTCAGGCAGAGCTCTTCTCTTTCCAGTTCCAAAGGACTCCCCCCACCCCAGACCCCCGTGAGCCAGAAGCCGCACAGCAAAACCAGCTCTCATGAGTGGACGTCCGAGTTCCTTAACATTTGGACTGATAATGAAGGGCTGTTTCAGACCCTTGGTGGGGATCATTTCAGACCCCCCTTGTAGTGTCTTTCCCCTCAAATGTGTAAAGGGACCCCCCAAAAAGCAGAGGCCTTGGTTGCAGACACCGGTCACCACCGGGTCTGCGTCTGAGCCTGAAAGGGCCACTTGGGGCCCAGCGCCACCCCGCCCCCACCTCTTTCTTAAAACAGAAGCTGTTATGAAATAGTGGGGGGCTGGCGGGGCGCTGGCTAGGGCGCACGGGGCCGCAGCACTGCTGTCCGCGGCCCAGAGACAGGGTGTCACCGTCTGCCCACCCCTGGGCCCTGGCACACGCTCGGCCTGCAGCGGGCCTGCAGGGAGATGGAACACTTCCTCCCATGGTGCCTGTGCAGGGGTGCCTGGCCGCGCCCCTGAGAGGAGGAGCCCCCTCCTCTCCCAGACGTGACGGACCTTCTGCTGCCCAGCAAGCGTCCCGCGTGTATCTGCTGTGGGGAAGTCAGTGTTCGCCCATGAACACTGATGGATGGTGTGTCCAGGCCGGTGGGTCCCGAGAGAGTGTTCTGAGCGCCTGTCAGGCCGTGTCAGGGAGCGGTGACACCCTGTCCTGGGGAGACCCGGCCCTCAGTGAAGTGTCTCCGTCCAGCCGTGTAGTGACAAGTCCGTGTGTTCAGGCCTTGGTGCCGCTGGCTTCTAAAGCGGCACTTCCTAGATGGACGCAGCTGCCC